ATAGGCTAATCCTCCGCCTTGCGGTGCCGGCACACCAGGTTCTAGTCCCGGTCGGGGCACCGGATTCTGTCCCGGTTGCTCCTCTTCCAGGCCAGCTCTATGCTGTGGCCAGGGAGTGCAGTGGAGGACGGCCCAAGTCCTTGGGCCCTGCACCCGCATGGGAGACCAGGAGAAGCACCTTGCTCCCGGCTTCGGATCAGCGTGGGGTGCCGGCCGCAGTGGGCATTGGAGGGTGAACCAATGGTAAAGGAAGCCCTTTCTCTCTGTCTCTCTCTATCTCACTGTCCACTCTGCCTGTAAAAAAAAAAATTTTTTTTTAAATAAAAAAAATTTTAAAAACTCTATTAATTTCCTCTCTCTCATGTTAATTATCCCAAAACTTGACATTTAATTATTTCACAGTCTCTGTCAGTCTGGAATCCAGGTCCTCCTGTGCTGGTGCCTCCTGAGGTTCCAGTCAAGCACTGGGCTGGGACCTGAGCCCTTGACTTGTTTGGTTGTTTACAGACCTCAGCCCTGCTGCACAATGTGCCTGTCCATCGGGCTGCCTTGTGATGTGGCAGCTGGCTTTTCCCAGGGATATAGAGAGAGGAGATAAGAGGGAGAACACTGGTATAGAAGCCAGGGATCTCTGTAATATCTTCTCAGAAGTGATATCCTGTGATTTCTGCCCTATTCATATATTGGATACAAGTCAACAGATGCAGTTTGTACTTGAGAGCTGGGAATTAAATATGATTGTGAATATGTAGAAGAGGGTGTCATTGGCAGCCAGCCTAGAGACTGTCACTGTATATTAAAACAGTAAATTGCACATGTGTTAGTAGCCAGGGCTGAGCAAGATCAGGGCCAGGATCTGGGAGCTCAATTCAGGTCTTCCACTAGGGTGGCAGGGACCCAACCGCTTGAGCTGTCACCTGCCGCCTGCAAGGGTATGTAATAACAGGAAACTGGAATCAGGACTCAAGTCAATGTACTCTGATTTGGCATACAGACATCCCAAGCAATATCTTAGCCACTGTGCCAAATGTCTGACATGACACTATTTAAAAATATTAAGCCACTGTTGCATTCCTGGGATTCATTATTTTTAATGTGTTACTGGATTCAGTTTGCTGAGAATACATCAATAAGTTTTTGCATCTGTGTTCATTAGAAATGGATTTGAGTTTTCCTTGTAATATCTTGCCTGGTTTTGGTGTCGGAATATTGCTGAATGCATATAATAAATTGGAAAGTGGTTCATTCTCTTCAGTACTTTGGAAGGGTTTCTATAGAAGAGGTGTTATTTCTTTTTTTTATTTAAAGATTTATTTAATTTTTGAAAGGCAGAATTACAGAAGGGGGGGAGGGAGGGGAGAAAGATATCTTCCATCCATTGGTTCATTCTCCAAAAGCCCTCAATGGCCAGAGCTGGAGCAATGTGAAGCTAGGAGCATGGAGCTTCTGGATCTCCTAAGTGGGTACAGGAGCCCAAGTATGTGGGGCTTCTTCCATTGCTTTCCCAGGCACATTAGCAGGGAGCTGGATTGGAATAGGAGCAGCTGGGACTTGAACCCATGCCCATATGGGATGTTGGCACATCAGGCAGCAGCTTTACCCACTACACCACAGTGCCAGCCCCATTATTTCTTCCTTAGATATAGTTTACTTAACCAGAAGTGCTGGCTGGCCCTGCCATTTTGTTTGTTTTGAACACAAATTCAGTTTCTTTAATAGGCATGGGCTTATTCAGGTTGCCTCTTTCTTCCTCTTGAGTGGCCTTTAGTTTCTACCTTTCAAGGAACTTGTTCATTTTATCTCAGTTGCTACATTTATTGGTGCAGTGTTGTCTATAACATGTGTAGACTGTGTTGTGATGTCACCTCACCCATTGGCAATGCATGTTTTCTGTGTTTTTTTTTTTTTTTTTTTCTTTCCCCCTTACCACTTTGGCTGGAAGTTTACCAGTTCTTTTGTTCATCTTCTCTGCAAACAAGATTTTAGCTTTATTGATTTTTCTTGGTTGCCCTGTTTCATTTGTTTCCACTGATATTTATTATTTTAGTCTTCTGCTTTGGGTTTCATTTGCTGCGGTCATTGCTTTGAGACTCTTTTCTGTATGCATTTAAAACTATAAATTTTATTACAGCTAACATACCACTTTAGCTACATTTTATCATCTTCATATTTTCTGATGTTTAAAAAATTATGTTTTTACTTTATTTGAGACATAGACAGGAAGACAAAAAGAGATGTTTCGTCTACTGGTTTATTCCCCAGTTGACCTCAACAGGCAGGGTTGGACAAGGCTGAAGTCGGGAGCCCAGAGCTCAGTCTGGGTTCTCCCATGTAGGTGGGACGATTGTACTTGAGCCATTCTCATTTGCTTCGTCATAGTGTATGCATAGGCAGGAAACTGGGTCAGAAGTGGAGGAACCGGGGTCAGATTCAGGGACTCTGATGTTGGTTGTGGGCATCCCAAGTGATGAACCTTGGCCAAAACACCAGTCCCTATTTTCTGTTCTTGTTTCCATTTAGTTCAAGATGCTTTTAAATTGCCTTTTTGTGTTGTTTAGTTACCTAGTATTTTCTGTCACCTTTATCTTTTAAAGTACCTTTTCACCTCTGTTGACTTTAAGCCATTTGATTTTGATGTGCCTATATGTATTTTTCTTTGAATCCTTTATGTTTGGGGTTTCCTGACTTCTCAGGTCTGTGTGTTTATGTTTTAGTTGACACAGTGACATGGATGGGTTCATCTCTATTGCTGTCACAATCTTAGGAACACAGAAACCCTTAAAAATACTGTGTGCGTTTCACCTACTTCTGATACATGGTTAGCTTTTGATCATGTGTAGAGTATTCTGCATTAACTGTTTCTTTTTTGCTTTCAGTTTTTATTTGAAGATATCTTTATTTTTGGTGCATAATGACTGCATATATTTATGGAGTACTGTGTATATTGCAACACATGTATGCTGTGTTTAATGATCAAATCAGTAATTGGCATATCTGTCATCTCAAGCACTGTAATTTATTCGTGTTGGAGACATTAAGTCTATTCCACTAGCTATTTGAAATATATAATTAATTGTTGTCAACCATAGTTAAGGCTGTGGTGATGCCTTGGGCATTTTGTGATATGCTAGAAAATATGATCATATGATTTTCATTTGACTTAGAATTCAGCCTGTGCTGAATTAACGTTAAAACACGTTCGCAGGTCAGAGTTGATGCTTAATATTTAATAGGATTTTGTTGTTGTTTTGAAAGCTTTAAAGAGCTTAGGTTATATAGTTTCCTACTTGACTTTTTTAAAGATTACTTTGTTTATTCTGTAACTCAAACAATACAGGCATGTGTAACTTTGTCTCTGAAATTCCATATGGCTGGAGGTATTTGTTTTTAACAGTTTGGTGTGTTTCCTTATATATACTTTTTATTGTTCTCATCCACAGTTATCTGTATTTGTATCTATATTGAGATCTGTATCTATCTGTATCCCTATACGTAGATACATTTATCACCACATAGAATCATACTTTACTATGTATTATTTGGAAGCAGTATTTCCACTTGAAAAAATAAGAATTTTTCTTAAGTATATTCTGTTTTTCCGTATTAGATCATGTATAGGGACATGGAAACTTTGGAGGAGAAGAAAGGAGATTCTAAAAGCAATTTCATTTACTGATTTTGTTTGAGAGAAACATACATAGTTACCTAGTTTTAGACAAGCTAGAGGCTGTATAGTTATTTAATAAGGGCAACAGTGTTTGCAGATTATAGGGAGAATTGAAGGGTTAGAACATAATAGGAAACAAAGAGGAAAAGTTAGAGCAACTGAAATAAACTGAGAGTGGGGCAGACTGAGTGAGAAGAGAAGGAATGAAGACTTCAGAAAGGGACTAGGGTCTAGAGAAGTAAGCAGGATTTTGAAGTAGTCATTATTCAGTATTTTTTCTTTTATGGCATTTTCCCTATTTTGTCCATTAGCTTTGGAATTAAGAAAGAAACAATTTATGTCTTCAGTTATTCACTGTCTCATATGATTGTTTCCATGGATTTTAAACACTCTAGCCCCAGCTCAGTGAGTGCGCTCCTCTGTTTTGTCCCTGGGTCCACAGAAGGAAGGTAGCAGGCTGTGCTGCAGGTGGATGTAGATGGCAGGTGGCTTGGGAAGTGCATTAGTCTGCATTCCTCCCATGATGGTGAATATACTTAATATATTTTTTTAAGATTTATTTATTTATTTGAAAGGCAGAGTTGCAGGGAGAGAGAGAGAGAGAGAAAAAGGTCTTGCATGCGCTGGTTCACTCCCCAGTTGACCGCAATGGTCGGAGCTGGGCTGATCCGAAGCCAGGAGCCAGGAGCTTCTTCTAGGTCTCCCACGCAGGTGCAGGGGTCCAAGGACTTGGGCCATCTTCTACTGCTTTCCCAGGCCATAGCAGAGAGCTGGATCAGAAATATAGCAGCCAGGACTCGAACTGGCGCCCATATGGGATGCTGGCACTGCAGGCGGCGATTTTAGCTGCTATGCCACAGCGCCAGCCCCTAAACATATATTCAGACATGAAACTTAAATAGCATGATGCCTCTTTTCTTCTAGCCTCTGTCAGCTGGCATATGTAAAGACTATCATATCAAATAGAGTGCCCATCTGATGAACTTTTTTAGTTAGGTCAAGTTATCCAACCTCTTAATGATTCAGAAATAATCCACCTGCAGCCAGATGGTAAAACATGTGGCAGAGTTCAAGAGCCACCTATCTGTTGCAGTAGTCTAGGCCTTAAATTTCTCTCACTTTAGGAATAGCTTCTTTAGGTGCATGTACTAAGTGAGCATGAATAGGATGATTTGGAGTGATTTTTCAAGCTTGTATGGACTTTTAGAATGTGGACTTTTTGGACATTTCCTGAATTTGAAAATGGCATGCTTTCTAGAATAATAAATCTGCATGTTAAATAATATTAAAGTTTTAGTGGAGAGTTCTGAATGTAATTTCTTTTGTTTTCCAGATATGTGTCACAAAGATGTCCACACGGAACTGCCAGGGGATGGACTCAGTGATCAAACCCCTGGATACAATTCCTGAGGATAAAAAAGTCAGGGTTCAGAGGACACAGAGCACTTTTGACCCGTTTGAGAAGCCGACGAATCAAGTAAAGAGGGTGCATTCCGAGAACAATGCATGCATTAATTTTAAGTCCTCCTCTGCTGGCAAAGAGTCTCCAAAAGTTAGGCGGCACTCTAGCCCCAGCTCGGTGAGTGCACTCCTCTGTTTTGTCCCTGGGTCCACAGAAGGAGGGTAGCAGGCTATGCTGCAGGTGGATGTAGATGGCAGGTGGCTTGGGAAGTGCATTAGTCTGCATTCCTCCCACGGTGGTGGAATGAGAGAGAGAAAGCAACCTACATACAGATCCCTTCATGAGCACCAGCAGGGACATGAAGGACATGATTCCACTTATCTTTGGAGAAATCAGTTTTTTTTTCTTTCTTTCACAGGCAGAGTTAGAGAGAGAGAGAGAGAGAGGGAGAGACAGAGAGAAAGGTCTTCCTTCCGTTGGTTCACCCCCCAGATGGCCGCTATGGCTGCCACACTGCACCGATCGGAAGCCAGGAGCCAGGCGCTTCCTCCTGGTCTCACATGCGGGTGCAGGGCCCAAGGACTCGGGCCATCCTCCACTGCCTTCCCGGGCCACAGCAGAGAGCTGGACTGGAAGAGGAGCAACCGGGACAGAATCCAACACCCTGACTGGGACTAGAACCCGGGGTGCTGGCACCACAGGTGGAGAATTTGCCTAGTGAGCTGCGGCGCCAGCCTAGAAATCAATTTTTTTTCTAGCTGCTTCCAGCAAGAAAATTTTAGAATTAAAAATCCTTTGTATTTTAAACCCTTGGAGAAATTACTGAACTTTACTGTGTTTGTAAGGATAGTTTTGCAGTTAGCAAATTAAGAGTTTCATTTCAGAATAAATGGACAGATTTGTTCATTTGTGTTATTTCAGTTTGTTTTCACCATAAATGTATTTTTAAGTATTTATTTATTTATTTGAAAGGCAGAGTTATACAGAGTGACAGAGAGACAGGTCTTCCATCCACTGGTTCACGCTCCAGATGACAGCTACAGCTGGGGATGGGCCAGGCTGAAGCAAGGAAGCAGAGCTTCATCCAGATCTCTCCCATGGGTGCAGGGGCCCAAGAAGTTGGGCTGTCTTCCACTGCTTTCCCAGGCATATTAGCAGGGAGTTGGATTGGAAGTGGCATAGCTGGGAATTGAATCAGCTCCTATATGGAGATGCCAGCATTGCAGGTGGTAGCTTAATCCACTATGCCACGATGCCAGCCACTTAGCATAAATACTTTAAAAGGTAAGAGTTAGATATTAAAATTGATTTTCTAAAGAGAAATTCTATTCATCGTAATGAAATTTACTAGACTCAAACTGAAGACAATTCTTGCCTTTTGTCCTAAGGAGGTTACCTACTCAAGTGTGGAGTGCTGTATCAAAGTATGGTGGACTGACTGGCTTCAACAGTTTATTTCTCATTGTTCTTGAGGCTGGGAAAGTCCAAGATCAAGAAACCTTAAATGGGAGAGCAAGAGAATGAGCACATGTCTTTGGGGTCTCTTGTGAAAAGGGCTCTAATCCCATTCATGAGACTCCATACTCAGGACTGCTTCACTTCCCATGGCTCCACCTCCAGATGCCATCTCATTGGTGCCTGGGGATTTTCACCATGAATTTTGGGAGAACACAGATGTTCAGTCTACAGCAGCAGCATACAGTTATGAGATTGTTGCTGCTTTTTGTTTGTAAAATTTTGACTAGAATTCATACTTAAAGGATGACCAACACTTAACGTTGTAAAAAAAATCTTTTGAATTTCAGCACTTTTGAGATTTAACTACATTTAGCAATTTTCTGATATAGGTGCTGTACGAGTTTAAAAGATGGGGCCAGCATTGTGATGTAGCTTGTTAAGCAACCACCTGTGACACCAGCAACCCATGTGGGCACCGATTCAAGTCCAGCTATTCCATTTCCGATCCAGTTCCCTGCTAATGAGCCTGGGAATGGAGCAGCAGGCCCCTGCATCCACATGAGAGACGGGGAAGAAGCTCCTGGCTTCTGGCTTTGGCCTGGCTCAGTCCTGACAGTTGTAGCCATCTGGGGAGTAAACCAGGGGGGATGAAAGACCTCTCTCTTTCTCTCTCTCTCTTCTCTCTCTTCTCTCTCTCTCTTCTGTCTTTCCCTCTCCCTCTGTCTCTCTAACTCTGCCTTTCAAATAAGTAAAAAATAAATCTTTTTAAAAAATAATTTAAAGGATGAGATTAGAATTCATAGATTATTCCTTTTTTTTTTAAAAAAAAAAAAGATTTTATTTCTTTATTTGAGAGGTAGATTTACAGACAGTGAGAGGGAGAGACAGAGAGAAAGGTCTTCCTTTTGGTGATTCACTCCCCAAATGGCTGAAACGGCCAGAGCTGCGCTGATCTGAAGCCAGGAGCCAGGAGCTTCTTCTGGGTTTCCTACATGGGTGCAGGGCTCCAAGCTCTTGGACCATCTTCTACTGCTTTCCCAGGCAATAGCAGAGAGCTAGATTAGAAGAGAAGCTGCAGGGACTAGAGTTGGTGCCCATATGGGATGCTGGCACCTCAGGCAGAGGATTAACCTGTGCCATAGCGCTGGCCCCCATAGATTATTCTGATTGTGTTATTTTGCTAAGAAATACATGACATTTCACAGAGTTTAAGTTAAGATTTCCTGGGAGCAAAAGCAGAACAAGAAATACCAACTGCTAGAAGAATTTTGACACTCCAGTTAATTAAACTCCTATCACACTATGCAGAGCTCATGTTATATTTTGAATTAAAGAAGCTGAAATAAGTGTTATTAAAATTTATGAGAATTGATTATTTGGTGGTCCCCAATCTGGCCCTGATAATCATGCCTGTGAGTGTAAGGTAGGGTCTCAGTGCTACAGATCGAAGTAACTCCTGGGGGAACTTCTAGTGTCATAGAGAAGAAAGAAAGGAGTTACTGAGAATGAGCTGATGTTATGAAAAGAGAATTATACATGTTTTACTGCATAGTTATCTTAATATTATATAGTAGAAATGGGCATGAGGCATTTTTTAAGCTGTAATTATGAGGCCAGGATTGTTGTACAGCAAATTAAGCTGCCATCTGGGACATCAGGGTCCTTTTTGCACACCAGATTTAAGTCTCCACTGTGCTGCTTCCAGTCTAGTTCCCTGTTCATGCACTTGGGACAGCAGTGAACAATAGCTCAAATATTTAGACCTTTGCAACTTTTGTGGGAGACCAGATGGAGTTCCAGGTTGTTGTGGCCACTGAGTAATGAACCAGACGATGAGCGATTGATCTCTTTCTGTCTCCGTCTGTCTTTGCCTTCCAAATAAATAAATAAATCTCTAAAACCAAACCTTATTTATTTATTTACTTGAATGGCAGAGACGGTAAGACAGTGAAAAATTTTCCATCTGCTGGTTCACTCCCCAAATGGCCACAACTGCCAGTGCTGGGTCAGGTTGAATCCAGAAGCCAGGAATTCCATCTGGGAGGCAAAACCTCAAGTACTCGAGCCATCAGCTACCACTTCCCGGGTGCATTATGAACTTCATTGGAAGCAGCCAGGATTCAAACTTGCTCTCTTATATGGTGTATGGGCATCACAAATGACAACTTAACCCACTGTCCCACAATGAGGCATTCTTATACTAAAAAAAATTACTCATTTTTTATCTGATGTTAACTGGTCATCCTTGTTTATCTGGCTATCCTAGTTATATTCCTCTAGTGTACTATTTTTTTGTTGCCTTTAAATTGCCACTGCAATTTTGGACAATCTTTTAGGTTGTTTGCTCTCTCATTTTGAAATATTTTCAACCCTCCCCAATCCCTTTTTCCTGAACACGTCATTCCTTTCTGGTCCTGCAAGGTCTTCTGTTCCTCTGTCTTCCCTCCCACAGACTAGAATCAGCTATTTCTCTGAAGAGCCCTGGTTCTTTTTATTAGAGAATGGTATTTAGAAGCCAAGATCTGGGTGCCAGTTGTGCTTATTACTGCTTGTGGTCATGTGGTTTTATTTCTTTTAATTAAAAAGTCTTTAAAAATTACTAGGCAGAGAGAGACACTCAAAGGGAAAATGCTCATCTGCTGGCTCCCTAGATGTCTACAGTGGCCGAGCTGTGTGAAGACTGGAGACAAGAACTGGGAGCTCAATTCTGATCTCCCACATGGGTGGCAGGTCTCCCACATAGACACAGCTGTCACCTGCTGCCTTCTAGGGTTTCATTAGTGGGAAGTTGCAATCAGTAGCAAGAGCTGGGAATTGAACCTAGGCACTCTGATATAGACCAACTTGCCTATATCATTTCAAAAATCAATGTATGCAAATTAGTATACATGACAGTAGTGAGATTTTTGAAAAAAAAAAATATACATTTAGGGGGAGAGGATAGGGAGAAAGAGAGAAAACTCTCATTTACTGGCCCACTCCTCAGCTGCCCGCAGTGGGCAATGGCCAGGCTGTGCTGAAGCTGAGAGCTGGGAATGCCACTCAGGTCTCCCAGGTGGGTGGCAGGGACCCCATTACTTGAACCATCACCTGCTGCTTTCAGGATATGCATTAGCAGGAAGCTGCATTTGGAAGTGGAGCTGAGAACTCAAACCCAAGCACCCTGGGCTGAGTTATGGGATATAGATGTCTCAGTCAGTGTCACCAAACACCTGCCCCAGTAGTGGGAACTTTAAGTCTCATTTTTAATTTTTAGTATGGAATCAAAATTCCTTATCAGGGAAAGTTGAGACTCATGTGTCTGATGTTCTCTGTATCTTTCTTTAAGGCTAATTTTTATTTTTATTAGAGTGATGCTTGAACATAGCTTAGAAGATGGATTAGGGAAAGATTCTGGGAACGTGTCATACTACATGGTATAGTTACAGTTTGAAGAATCTTTCATAGAATTAGATGAGCAATTAGTGTAATAAAACCAATGGATAATATCTACAACAAATAAGGAGGTAACGTACCTCCATGAACCTCAAAATAGGAGGGGTGCTGACCATGAACAGTTTTTGAAACGGTACTATCAGAGAATAAAATGGAGGCTCAGGGCAGGCAAAGGGACTGGTGACTGTTCTGAGAACTAGGACCCTTTTAAGCCCAGACTGCCATTGAGTACCTAGTGGTGGCTTTTTGATCCATTCTTAGGACAGCAGTAGCAGCTAGGGAGG